TCAACAGATAGAAATCAGTTTAAATGCTTTTGAGTTTTATGAACGTTTGAGTTATAATTTTATTTATCACCAGCAAGGACCACCTTTTACTGTACCTTTTCTGAATGTGAAATAAGCTCTGAACTCTTTTTGAACTGGCATTAAAAATATATAAATCTGAAGTCTGACTTGGTGGAAGCTGCATGAACTCTGATTTTGCGGGGTGGGGGCTCACTCTGAGATGATACTGCCACAGTCTACTGTGTGTGACCTCCAGTCTGGCTCCTTCTCCCACTTGAGATGAAAGAGGGAGGAAAGGGAGAGAAGCATATTTAGACTCTGCTTGTCCTGCTTGGGCATTAAGAGCATGTGAAAAGTGGAGCCGATCACAGGGGGGAGGAAACAGAGCAGAGACAGTGACAGAAGAGACTCATGAATGTACGTTCATTAATGTGGTCGTAGCTCACTCCAGACAGAGACATACTAACAAAAGCTGCATGCAAATACTGTCTACTCCCTCTCTCTCTGTTTTTCTGTTTCCCATTCTCCCATTTCTTAAATATGAGAAATGGAGGAAACACCAAAATACACCTCAGACACAAAGGTGTAAATAGTGCAATGAATCAGATAAGAGATGGAAAGTGATTGTCTTGTGTCATTCCGAAGCTTTGTTATGAATCCTCCATCAGATTTTCATTGATGCCACTTGGTGTGGTGTATGAAATGACAGACTGATTGATGGATTTTATCAACAGGGAAGACTTTGGTTACATAAAGTCGTTTTAAAGGAGCTGAGTGTGATGTCGGGTCATCCATCTATCTGTGCCCAAGGCTGTCTAGCAGTTTTTTTTATGGCCTTTTCTGTGGCATTTTGCTTTTGTTGGATAGTTGACAGTAGCAAGCGACAGGAAACATGGGTAAATGGAGAAGGGGACGATGTGAGGCAACAGTGTCCAGTGTGACTTAAACCGGAGATGATGTTGATGCCATGTTACACATCTGACTGCTGTGTGACCAGGATGAACCTGCCATCTATAAATCTTTTAAGGAAAGGAATGTGCATCCTTGTAGTTGGAGCAGCACGTCTTCATGTTTTGACATCCAGTGTTTCTCAACATGTTCCAACATTTGAATCTCGTCACTGCTGCACACGCGCAGACCCCTGTCCAGAGATCCTGTGCGATGATCTCAGCGCTGGCTGTAGCTCGGCCATGAATGAGCGAAACTGCTCTGAAGTCGGTGTTTATGGAGGGCCCCGTCCGCTCGGAGGGGAGAACCAAAGTTAAATAAATACTCGCTCCATCCTGTCTGCATTAAGGGCCGGCACACATGGCTTTGACGTCAGAGTGACATTAAACAGGGTGGGGTGGCTCAGCCGGCTCTGACAAGCATGTGCACACGTGCACACGCTCACATACACACAGACGGCTCTTCCGTAGCTTGCTACTTAAATCTTTGTCTTTCTTTTCTTGTCCGTATCTTTGTCTTTGTCTTTCCTTCTCTCTTTTTTCCATCTGACCTCGGTGACATTTCTTCCTCATGCCTTTAGTACAGTATACAAGCATTGCCACCGCTAACCTTTACTGGTGCTACGCAAATTTCCTTCTCATAATATTAGCTCCTGACAAAGAAGATGTTAATTCTTTGACAGTTTGTTCCTTTTTGTTGAGCTGGTTTGTCTCTGTTCATCAGTCATTCTGTTTTTGGCTCAAGTGCGTGAAAGGATTTCTACTGCAAAATAACCAGCCAGGTGCAACTGGCTCTCATCACATGGTGTGTACGATAGCCAATTCAACATTTAACTCCAACGTTTATCTTTGCTGCTGCTCTTCCTTTCCTTTTCTTTTTTTCCCTTTCCTGCCATGAAGAGAGAAAATTTTTTTGCATGGAGATATTTCTGTGTGTGTGTGTGTGTGTGTGTGTGTGTACATGCCTTGCAGACCCACAACAGGTTTGTCAACATGCCAGTCAACACTGAGGGCATTAGACCAGTGGGATCGTATGAGCTGCTTTCAAACAACATTAACATGTATCTGCTCATATTGCTCCTGTGAGGTGTGACACAGTTTAAAAAAAAAAAAAAAAAAAAAGTGTCCTTTTTTTGTGTGTGTGCTTCTGTTGCATGTCCAAATAATTTATGACTGCTTGTTGAGTCTGTTTGTGGTTGTTACTGTTCACTTTAAGTACTGCACAGGATTAAAAAGTTTAAAAAAAAGCGACGTACGAAAGGGATGAGGATGTTTCTGTAGAGGTGAGAGCACACGCACTGTACGAACAGTATGCCTGTGTGCGTTTGTAGGGTCTTGTTTTGCAGGTGTTTGACCATGGTGACCCACTGTATGTGTTTGTGTTGAAGCTGTCACATGTCACTGCCGGGCCAGCTGGTGTCTTGCGAACTTTGGGGGCAGAGGATTTCCCCCTCTGTCGTCCTCAAACTGTCACAGTCTATATGGTTCACTTGGGCGTGGGCAAGTTTATTGACTCAGTCTTTTAAAACATAGAAATGAAATGATGGGAAAACGTGTGTGAATCTGCTGACTCTGAAACCAGGTGTGTGTATCACTCTCTCACTAGTGTCCTGCTGTCTAAATGTATTTCAAATGATAAAAACCCAAGAAGAAATGTTGCAATGGGAAATTAACAAATAATATAAAATAAATAGTACGAACATTGACAATTTTTTTTAGGGCTTGTTATTGAACCCCCATATATCCATATAACCTCCATTAGATTTGTACTTTTCTTTCATTATTCACGTTTAAAGCTTTATCAGAATAAATATGGATGATGCATTATCGGCAATCTTAGGTAAAATATCATTACATACAATGAAATATATTTGCATAAGAAGCAAAAGAATATAAATGTATTATTATTCTTATTGACCTTTTCTTTGATCAGGCTGTGTCTGATATTTAATAATAGGTAGAAGTTGTTTTTCAGACAACATGTAACTTTTGTGAGAATTTGTCTTGGTGTGTTAAGTATTGAAAAAGATTTTGGTGAAAACGCGTTTAAATTTGAGAAAGATGAAAAAAGCCTAGTTTTTGTCTCAGTTTTCGGTGCCGAAACTCAAGTGTCTTATCAGACAAAATGTCCATGATCCACGTCTGCTGAGAATACTGTAGCAAATTATATAGAAAGTGATGAAAAGCGATTGTCCAGTGACATTTATAGATTCTCTCAGATGGTAGTAAGAGTTGAATCCTCTGTCATATGCTTGGCATTGATGACACTTGGCACTTTGTGTCTCCTTCAAGAAAGAACAGCCGTTGGATTTTATCAGCAGTGAAGAAGAGGACCCTGGTTACATGAAGCTGCTTTAAACGAGCTGAGGGTGATGTTGGGTCATCTGTGGGCCAAGCTGTAAAGATGCTTTTACTGCAATTTTTTGTTGTTGTTGTTTTTTGTGGCATTTTGCTTTTGGGCAATAGTTGGCACCATCTGATGGGCACTGGTTTTCATATGATACGCCGCCTTACATTTTATATTTTATACAATCACGCCTGCACATGTTTTTCTTAAATGTTAAGAAGTATAATATGTCTGTTAATTATCAGTGTGTGTCTATTTTTGATGCCTGTGAGTTTATGTGTCTGTCTATGTATAAACTGTACATGTTTATTTTTGTACACTGGTCTCTCTTGAAAATGAGTTCCCAATCTCAATGAAACTATGCGTTTAAATAAAAGATTCAGTAATAATATTGCATCTATGACCTTAATTCAACTATAGGAGTTTTAACAAAATTAACTACCAAATTATATACTAACTGGAGAATATATAGATGTATTTTATGTGTGTTTTTCTGGAATTTTTTTTGGATAGTAGACACTAATAAAGAGGCATGTATGAAATGAGGGCAGAGAGAGGGTATAACACTGAACAATCTCCCCTACCAGCATTTAACTGGGGACAGTGTGAGTATGTACTATGCGCCTTACGATTCACCTATTGGGACACCACAAAAGATAATTTTTTAAACATTGATTAAACGATCAGTTTTTCAGATTAATCATTTATGTCAAACATAATGTCAAATTTCCATCTTTTTACATTAACAGAGCTTAAAACGACAGTTTTGTCTGATGTAGTCTCAAGGCCAAAGGAATTCCATTCACATGTCCATAAAACAAAGAGTGCAAAATAATTGTATTTGAGAAGTTGTAACCCATAACCACTTTGTGTGTTTTTACCAGTTCAATGATGATCATTCATTTTGCTCATGGCTGTTTTCATACATAAGCACACACACACACAACCTCAGCTACTACACGAGTTCTCCTTTTCCCTTTAAATGTCTACTGTGTGTGTGTGTAAAAGTGCTAGTTTGCAAATCAAAGCAGCATCTCATCAGAGCACTAACTTCTTCAGCTTCAGTTCTCTGTCTGCCTCAGGGAGTAAATACCTCAGTTCACCCCCGATGAGACCATTTCTCCAAACTCACACACACAAACTCACACACACACACTCACCCTTGCTGCTGTTGGAATGTGCATTTCAGTAAAATATGTGGAGTGACCCCCGGTCCTCTGAAGAGCACGGTTGTGCCTAGAGGTCGTTCACCCCTCACATCAGGGTCATTTGATCTGCCAAGAGGACAGCACAACACCACTGTGTGTGTGTGTGTGTGTGTTTATGAGAGTGTGTTTGAGATAACCCATGAACGTTATGTTAAAGCTATGTTTGGCTAATGTTTGACTGAGATCCAGGGAAAGAGCCGTGTGTGTGTGTGTGTGTGTGCCCGATGATCTTTGAAGCTGTCAACATTCTTCACCACATGCTCTGTCATGATGCATAGAGGCGACTGGCGAGATGAACCAGCTGTCCCTGCCTGTGGTTACTGCAAGGTCAACATGCTCACACACACACACACGTGCGCGCTTGGCTGGGTGTCTTCCCATCTTGTGTTGAAAATGCCCCTGGATGGATAGATGTGGTTAAAGAGTTCACGTGCAATGCTGAAATAGTGACTTGACTTGATGTTCTGATGTAAATCTCGCTGTGTCTGTGTCTCTCAGGTGGAGGAGGCAAGAGGAACGGTCGCAGTAAGAAATGGAAGGAGATGCTGAAACTCCCGCACATCAGCCAGTGTGAGGAGCTCCGACGCACCATCGGTAAGAAACGGGGAGTCAGTGTGTGTGTGAGGGGTGTGAGGCAGAAAGATAACGTGCCATGCTGTGTCGTTGGGGTGTGTCTGACTATGGGAGGAAGTTCAGATTGGACTTCCTTCCTCTTTCTACCCGTCTCCACCCACAGTTACAGGCAGGGGACAGGAAACTGTGTGTGTGTGTGTGTGTGTGTGTGTGTGTGTGTGTGTGTGTGTGTGTATCTGACTCAGGGAATCTGTTTGCAAGCTGTTTATTAATCTCAAAGTCTCTTTTAACATAGTGTGTGTCTCCCTATCTGTCTGCTCACACATCAAATCAAAACGTCTTCAGTCCTGCTTCCTTCCTGTTGTCCACATCCAGGTTTGACTTGAAGGTAGGGGCGGGATTTTCTCTTTGTTGCCCAGACAAGTGCTTTACTCCTGGGCTATATTATCTCCTCATCCCCTCCACACATGCTGGTTCTCTGAATGCCACAGCACTGTGTGAGTGTGAGTGTGAGTGTGAGTGTGTGTGTGTGTGTGTGTAATAGTGCGTCACAGCTATCTCTGCCAGAGATTGCAGTGCTACCCTCCCCCACATACTCTCCCTCCCTCTCTTTTCTATCTTCATTGCTCCCCCTCCCACTATCTGTATCTCTCTGTCTCTCTCTCTCCCTCTTTTCCACCACTTCAGAGCAACATAAGAGTGGGAGAACAGGAGAGGTAAGGAGAGAGTGAGTGAAAAACAGAAACAAAGATGGAGAGGCTTTTACAATGGGAGGAGAGATCTCTTAAGGACAGGAAAGAGGGAGAGAAACAGCAGGAGGAAAGAGATGTAGATGCACATACTCCCTACGGTGATATCTCTTATGCAGCGTTGATTGTGTTCCTTGTGGATGTGTGTTCATATCACAAATCATCACCCACAGATCCAATTATCATAAACTTGAATGTACCTGTCGTCAGTGGTGATAGATTACCTGCTTAAAAACAGCACATAAATGTCACCTTAAGTGTGAGGAGGCATCGTACTTGTCAGATATCTTACATATTTATTGCCATTTGGATTACAACTTTTGCAGAGGATTCAAAAAAATGAGGTGTGTGTGTGTGTGTGTGTGTGTGTGTGTGCGTGTGCACATGCGCGCGCATGCAGTAGCTATTGAGGGTTACATACGTCACTATTACATAGACACTATTGCATAATTTCCCTATCACACCGAGCGCAGGATCAAAATAATCCCCTTCGAGTACTTAAACACACAGACGTGTAGGCATGTGCAAGCACACACACACACACGCCTAGGAGACGCACACGCATGTCCATGCACTGTGTAGGCACAGCTGATAGAAGCATACAGTATAGCAACTGATAGCTGTGTCTTTGTTGTGTCTTGATAATGTCAGGCATTTGACCTTAGCCTTGACAAGTGTGCAGTACTTCTAGGAAGCCCAGATTACATTATGTGGGCTGCAGCCACTTTGTCTGCCAGCCATAGACCACTCTCCCTCTCCGTTCCTCTCCTTCTGACTCCTCTCCACTTTTTTCTTTATTCTGGTATCCATCCAATACTTACAGTACATGTGCACCTGTTGTTTCTGATCTCTGACGTTAGCTTGTTAGACATGCTTCTGAAACCAGAGGTAGTTTGGATGGAGGCTAACGGCTCTTGTTGCGTAGCAGCAGCAACAGCAGCAGCAGCAGCGAGTGTTGGCCAATACTCAGGTCTCTGCCTTGAAAGTGTGCACACAAACGCATACATGAAGCTATTGCACCTACTCGCATTTGTGCACATTAGCTGACCATTCACTGTCTCACAAGCTCACTCTGTCTTGCCCTAAATTAGAGTTTTAATTAAGTTGTAATTGCAGCTTACTTCACTACTAGTCCAGGCTAGTCTAGTCAATCCTCTCATTTCCTGGCCCATTTTTCTTTGACACCTTGCTGTCTTGTACGCACTTCCTCTCTCTCTCTTTCCCCCTCTTTCTTTCATAGTTGTTTTTCTTCAGGATGGGGAGAGAGGGCTCCCTCTTACGCAAAAAGGAAAGTTTTCATTGGTGGAATGCTGGCTTACGTTCTCATATTCAAATATCTTAGAGTCTGGAATCAGTTCGGACACACACACACAAACACACACACAAACACACGTACCCAGTCACTTACCCGGAGGTGTCTAAAGAAACTTTCTCTTCAGCTCTTTGCTCACCTGCAAAACTTACAAATTCTGTCACATAATGTAGATGGTGAAAACATAAAAAGACCAATCAGTAAACTTCATCCAAGAAATAGGCAAGAGAAAAAGAAAGTGTGCAAGAGACATAGCCTACTTGAAATGTAGCATGTAGCAGCTTCTCAGGACTCAATGGTTTATGCAGATGAAATTGTGTAAATTTTAGAGATGTTCCGATGACATTTTTTACCTATCCAGTATCATTGTGAAACAAAAATTCACCCTGCATGGTTATGATAAGATTGTTGTATGGCATGGCTCATGTTAAACCCCTTGTAAACCATGAACAGGTACATAAATGCCATTTACTCTTTCTTTTATTACCAAATTTGACTGTCAGCCAAAAAAATAAAAAGGAATGAATAACAATTTGTACACTATAGTTGTCCTAACACTAGTGGCACTCCTCGAAATTAAAGCCTTGCATACTGTACACGCTGCCTTTTAATTCTTGGGACTTCCTGGTGTAGCATATTGCCAACGGCTAATGTGACACTATTTACCAAAAATCAATTCTTCATCACCACTCTAAAACAGTAGAGCAGCAAAGAAGAACTGAAACTGCAGTGATATCTGGGTGTGAAACTATAAAGTTTATTAATAAATAAATAATAAAGGTCTTTAAATAATAGTGGTGAAAACTGAGTAAAAATAGATTCAAAAGGTTAAATTATATTAACTTGTACAATAAAACATATTACTTTTTTTTTAATCACTTATCTTAACTCGGGCTGTTCTGGTTGTCACCAAGAGACATTTATCATTTTGACGTCAGATGTGTTGCTCAATGGGTAAGTTACAAAAAAAAATGGAAATCCTTTCAGGAACATTGCACAACAGTTTTTGTGAGTTTTTTTTAAATTTTTTTTTTTTTTTTTTGGTGTGTGTCACCTCACACAGTGACCAGTGTTTCTGTGATTCAGCAGAGGGACACTGGAGTGGCTGGGGACTCTTGTAACTATTTGGAAACCATCAAAACCTGTTCTCGAACAAGACACTGAAACCATATCAGGAGGCTTATTGTAACCTGATATCTTTAAATCTGTTACTGTCATTACATATAAAAAAATCTGTAATCTTCTGCTTTTTGGTTGCAGAAGAGCAGAGAGAGCTTTCGAAGTTAATTTCCTTTTGAACCAATGTGGAAAAATTGACTTTGCTGAATTTGGTTTGTTTAGGTTCACACTGCCCAGTTTCAAACAAACCAGCTCATAAACACCAGTCACATGTATTAACATGTGGCTCCTTTATTGGGTGAAGTGTTGGTAACCTGTCCGGTGATTGACAAGATATGTGATTTTCAGGGAAGACAACACATTTGTTTGCATGGACGTAGAGAGAGATGCGCTTATTCAGGCATTGTGAGGCAGTTATTTTATTATACACAACTCAAACAGCATTGTCCTCACCTGGCCAGAAGAATCAAACGACAGGAATAAATACTCCAGAGTTCAAATAAACTGCTCCAAACATTTTTTTTCTTTGCAAACATCCTAAAATTGCCTTATCAACTATGAGGGTGTGTGTGGGGGCTTTCCCAGCTCCAGTTCCTGAACACAGCTGATGGAGGAAACACCAAAGCAGGCCTCCGATAACTTGGTGATCCAAGATGAAAGGCAATGTCTGACGGCAAGTGCAATGCAGTATAGTTGGAGATCTCTCAGTGAGGGTTTCTGAAAGGGTTTTTGTTCTTAAGATTTAAAACACAGCGGTAACACAGTAGAGAGGGAAGCATTAAAAATATCATATCTCTACACTCCTCTGTTTGCTAACAAACTGATAACTTAGGTTTTGTGGTCGTATAATTGGTGAGTCTGAATGAGGAGCGCTGAGCTGCAGAGCAGAGGGGAATGCTGTGTAATAAACAGTGCAGCTGGGAGGGCTGTTGTGAAGATCTGATTTACTGTTGGAGGTTGTCCTGTAGCTGTCAGCACTCAGAAATTTTCATCCCATGCATCCCTCCTCCCCCCTCTATTCACAAGTGCGCAGTTGTACGTGAATGTGTGTGGCCTATTTTTGTTTGTATGTTGATCTTGTGTGTGTGTGTGTGTGTGTGTGTTTGTGTTCTTACTGTCAACCAGTGATGGAAAATGTCCTGGGTCTTCTTCCTCATTTGGTACCAGAGGAAATGTGACTCAAATGGACACCATTATTCCTAATAAGCTGGGGCCAGCTGCACAGAGACACACACATAGAAATCATGCTAACACACATACAGAAAACATAGACACAGACATAGTGTGTTTTGTTTGTAGCATAAGAAAAAGTACCATTGATTAGGGATGGATTTTTAGGTGGAGAAATACACAAACTTCTCCAAAGTCTACTCTTGCATTTATTTTGTTTGCAACCAAAGACTCAATAGCTAATTCATGTGATATGTTGTTGTTATATGCCAACTATGAAAATACTTTTTTCCATTGCTTGTTTAACATCCATTGTTTGTATCATTTCAAGTTATACAAGCAGTGTGTTTTGTTTATAGAATATTGTAGCATAAACATCAAATAGCTCTCCTCGAAGGTATAGAAATGTACCTTTTAAACTTCTCCACAGATGGATAGTTGGTCTACACATTTAACATTTTGTGTGTGTTTGTCATGTTGCCAATTTGCCATTAATAAGGATATGAGATTTAAAGTTGTATGTCCTCTTTCATCTAACCTCCATTTCGCTTCCGTTGGCTTGTTTGACTGTATTTTTTTTCCCATCAGTCTTTCTAGAAAGTTGAAAAAGACCATTACAAGGGTTGTCTGTTTTAAGTTACATTGCACTAGATAGTAAAAGTTGAGCTTAGTCTATTTTGCACAGGTAAATTATTTATGTTATGTTGTGTTTGCACTTAACAACTTCAGATCCCATTGAAAGCTATGCCGTTGTTGCTATATGCTAACAAAGAAAATTCTTCTTTTTCTTTGGTAAAACTGTCTTACCGAAACTAACGACTAATGAAATTTACTACTTAATAAAGGAATCATTCTGCTGAGAAAAATTTATAAATTTTTTATTTTTATTTTTTACCTTTTTGAATAAAGCAGCTTCCTGTACAAATACAGGTAACTTAAGCTAGTGAGCTAAGCTAGAATAATTGCATGACTCTAAACAGAGGCAATATAAGATAAGAGAGTCCCAAAAACCAAACTATCCCTTATACCCTCTAACAAAATAGTGTAGTGCAGTGATTCCCAACTTTACTAATATGAAACAAAATGTATTTGAGATGATCCTCTGGTTGCATGTCAGTGAGTTATGAGTAATTGCAGTCATGTCAGATTCATTTTGCTTCCTCAATTTATTTCATTGGAATATTTTTTTTAGAGGCCTGAGTGGTTAGAGCTGCGCAATATTTCACAAATGAAGTAAAGCGTCAGAGAAAAGTCAGAAAAACAAAGTTTGTTTGTTCGCAGCTACTGTTATGGTGTATTTTTCTGGTGTAATAACATTTGTCCGTCTGTCGCCCTCCTTGTCTCTTCCTCCCTCTCCTCTCCAACTCTTAGAGAGGGACTACACCAGTCTATGTGAGAAGCAGCCCATTGGTCGGCTGTTATTCCGTCAGTACTGTGACACCAGGCCAGAGCTGAAGCGCTGCATTGAGTTTATGGATGCTGTGGTAAGACTATTACCATTACTATACGTATTCTTTGATTTTCTAACACTCATTCTTTCAGACATCCTATCCTACTTGTCTGTCCCTGTGTTTTCTCCCAGGGGAGTGACCTGATTCAGCCCCTGCAGAGCAAGGAATAGGAGAGGGAAGTCAGGGCTTGGTCCTTTGCCTGCTCTTGGCGGTAGCACAAAGTGGTGGGTGGGTGGGGTTGGTGTAGGGGGCTGATTAGCAACTTAGACAGGCTGTCAGAGAGCAGACCCCTCCCCTTCCTCCATGCACTCCTCCATGAGGTCAAGCCCACGTCAGAGGCAGGTCTCCTGGGTGAGCAGGCAAACACAGGCCCGAGCTTGTGTCTAGGCCCCTGGAGGTATGCGAGAAAGGAAAACGGGGAAATCATGCTTATTTAATAAGAACCTACATTAGTCTTTTTCAAGGTAGGCAGACAGGCGTGTACATACGGGAATCGCACATACTCACACTGGCTGACAAACATTTTAGTGCTTATCTTGCTGTTAGTCCCACTGAGGACTTCATGCCTTGGACGTGATGCGTAGTAGCACGGCTCGGCCCCATTCCTCTCCGCCGAGCATGTTTTCAAACAAAACATATGGCTGCAAGCAGTCAAACTCCAGACCATCTCCCTGCCTACAGCCATATTTGACCAAAAACACAATCTGTGATGGTGCGATGGGGTGAAATCTGAGGCGTCATCCTGGTAGGTGACAGATGTAACGGGCGAAGCGTGAAGACAAACACGATTGCCAGTTTGATGCTTTTACTAAGATGAGATATTTTGTCATCAGCAACATCTCTCTATTCGTCTGCAGTCCCGCTCTCATTCGTATTTTTAATTTCTTTCTCTTGTCTCGTATTTACCACCCCCTACCCTTCCTTCACGCTCTTCCTCCCTTGTCTCACCCTTCCTCTCTCCTCTCGCCTTCTGGTGCCTGTCTCTCTGACCTTATTTGGAGAGATATTAAAGATGGCTGAATGAGCATGGCTTCCTGTGCTGGTGTGGTTTCCCACATTTCTGTTCTTCTCTGACAGGCCATGTACCAGCTAGCTCCTGATGAGAAGAGGAGGGACTGTGGACTGAATGTTTTAGACACATACTTTAATAATGGGGTAAGATACACACACACTTACTTCATAGCAGATCTTGCCGATATGGAGAAATTATGTTGATATTAGTCCAAGATCATATTTGCTCACATTTACAAATCTTAAATTTCTGAGTTGTTCATCTCTTTAAACTGCATGATTTTTTTTTAAAGTACATTAAAGTAAAAAAAAAGAAAGAAAGAATTCTCTGATGGTGTATTTCTTATCATTACATTTATATTTTTTAATGACTAAACACATATTTGCCAGTGATGTGTCATGTATGATATGCTGTGGAATTTATCCAACGATGTGTAACACACCCTCAGCACTGGGGACTGCACTGTGTTTACTAGTACCCCTATCTGCAGCAGTGTCAGGGTATGTTTACACCTTTTGTTGTGGTTTTCTGTGTTGGTTAATGACCATAATTGGTCCAAACTCATCTGGACTTTATTTATCATAAAAATGACAATGCAAAGCTGGAAATACAGTAGGAAACATGTTTTACTATACCATAAAAAGGAGGAAATTAGTTGGTTAAAATTGTTTGCTTTAGCCTTTGAATGTATGATTGTGTCACAGGCATATTTCACACCCTCTTGTGTTTTTTCTTTGTTGTGTTGTCATCATAACCGAACAGAGACTTATTGTTAAGCTTGGTGTGATTTGTACTACAAAAAGAGTTCACACTCTTCTTACTACCCTAAATCAAAGGTTTTCAAAGTGAGGTCCAAAGACCCCCAGGGGTCCTTGAGGGGGTTCCTGGGGGTCCCTAGCAATAAGAGGAATAACCTATTTTCATTATATTTCCATCCATAAGTAACACAGTGACAGAATGTATGACTACTTTGGTCGAGGGTTTCAAACACCTTCTGTAATAAAACATCTAAAAGCAAAAATCTTATGAGATAGGGGCCTGTGATCTGATTTGTGTCAGTTCAGGGGTCCTCAACGTGAAAACGTTTGAGAATCCCTGGACTAAATCAAGTGGACCAAACTGGCAAATGAACCAAAGCTTGTTAAAGCCAGAGCAAAAGAGGTCAGGTGTGACCGCAGCCTTGATGTCATGAGACTGTAGGTTCACAAACAGAAAGGCCATGAGTGGACTGTTCTCTTCGTCTCAGACAGCCACATTACACCAACCTCTCATGTTGTTTCTGTTCCTCTCTGCCTGTCTGCCTCACTCTCTGTTTCCGTGTCTCTCTAACCCTCAAGTCAGCAGCCCATCTGCCAGACATACCCCAGGATGTAGTCGCTGGTTGCCGGGAGAGGCTGGAACAGAGTCCGTGTAAGGAGCTCTTCAATGACTGCACCAAGTAAGCCTCTATCTTCCCCACATGTCTGGCAAAGCGGGACATTTTCATACTCTAACTTTATACTATGAACTCACCTGCATCAGCTGTCCAACACTCAGACGGTTAATGAGATGCTTGTTATTTGGAAACGAATTTAGTGTTTTTGTTTTTCTCCCTGATTGAGTCTGCCCGTCAAAGTGCAGTGGCACCAACAGAATCTTGTTCCTTCAGAAACCATGTGTGTGTTTGTGGACTCTGTGGACGAGTGCACCCTGTCACTGGTGATGATGAGGCAGCTGGCACCTGGAGAGCAATAACACACACACACACAGACTTGCAAAAACACACGCACAGTGGAGGCGAATGAAAAAGAGCAGTGGGCAGAGAGAGCATCCGGATGGCTGGCAAGAAAACAACAGTCACCTCAGTGTTCCCCGTATACAAACACACACACACACACACACACACACACACAAACACAGATTTACAAACACACACACACACACACACACACACACACAGACACACACACGCACTTGCAGGTGTTTCTGCTTCCTGCTCTGAGAGCCAGGAGAAGCAAACAGACCGGGGATTATTACCCCCAAATGTACTTCTCATTGCACAGATACACACACATACACACACTTCAACGTAACTTTGTATTAGCCCAATAATTTAACTCTGTCACAGTCGGTGTCTGTTGCCCTAGGCTTCAGCTGAATGATATATTGTGAAATTTATATTGCGCTAAGTTGTCACATTTACCTTGGTAATGTAATGATACCTATTTTAAATATGTCAATGTATTATATTTTCTCTTCCACATTTCCTGTCCATGGTTGCTCACCTCTGATGTGCTGTTATTTATTAATTACAGTAAGAGCAGTTAAGGATTCTCAATGTCTGAACTGCACTGTGTGCTGATTGGTTGGCTGAAGTTATTGTCAGACATCATTGGCTATTGTATTTATTCACAGATTATTAAAGAGAGTTTAGACTGTTTATGGAGAATTATGATGTGAGAAAACTGACTTTCGTTTACTGTCAAGCGCTACCCAGGAAATACTGCATCAAGTCAGGAAGGTAAAACCAAGGTCAGAAGTAATTTTAATGTATAAGAATAAGGAACGCTCTTCAGTATGATTTCTAAACCGATGAAAACAGATGAAGTGAAGTCACGCTGAATCTAAAAATGTGTTTATCATTCAGATTTTATTTAAGTATGATTCTGAGAAGAAGCATATTTTTTTATGCAAATTGTGCTTCATACCTCTGGTACACAGCAAACTGCCATACAACAGATTTTACTTTATTTTATTCAATTTATTTGTCAGGAACGATGTATGAAAACAACATTACTATAAAACAAGAGAAGAAAGATATATGACATCAGTACATAGGATGTACAGTACAGGACAACACACCTCTCATCATGTCAGTAGGCCCATGTTTCTTTAGTCCTGGCAAAAGCTGTATTTCTGCGAAGTCTCAGCCTTTAGCCACACAGGCAGACGGATTTGGATTGGAAATGCTGCGACCAGCCTCTGATTCATTTGAGCTTCCCCGGGGAATCCCGGAATCTGCCAGACGGAGCTCAGGAGAAGTGGGAATCGTGGATGGGAAAACACTCAGTTACGTTCTCCGCCTGCGCTCATGCTTTGGCAAAACACATGTGGAGAGCTGCTCCAGAGCTGTTGGATATATGAAATCAATAACCCATACACTTCAGGAGACTTGTTTGATGTGATGGACAGATGCGCTGTTGCCAAAACATTTTGAAGCTGTGATGTGTCTGTTTCCCATGTATGAGTTTCTAGACCGGGTGATTTTCATTGAATGTGATGTTTTGTTCCGTTTATCTGTGGTTTATTAACATTTCCTGATTTTCCTGTTTGTTGGCACAAGTTACTTGAGGGTTGGGAGAGTGACAAACAATATGAGCAGTGCAGAGGCACAGCAAGGAGGTGTGTGTGTGTGTGTGTGTGTGTGTGTGTGTTGTGGTGTGTGTGTGTGATGTGTGTTTGTGTGATGTGTGTGTGTGTGTGTGTGTGTGTGTGTGTGTGTGTGTGTGTGTGTGTGTGTGTGTGGGCGCGCAAAAAGACAACAGATGCACTAGTAGAGGGAGGTTGAACTGAGCACGGTGGCTTGTGTTTGACTGAGACTGGAAACATCAGTGGTTCTGGTTAAGATGAGCACAGACACACACACACACACCTGTCCTCTAACTTTGATCAACGTCTGATGCGGTGGTTTCCTTCCCCTCTGTATGCGTCTCTATTTTAACACCTCGTCTTACACCTAGTAGTCAAAAAGGCACAGAGGAGGGCAGAGAAGTGGTGCAATAGTAAGAAAGACCGCAGCCTTACAACACTTAAGCTCCACACTTGGTTGATGTGGGAAGCTCAGCATCTGCTCCATTCAAACTTCTTGACCGGATTAAAAAAAAAGCACGGAGTTAGAGATGAAATGATATGACTGCAGAAAGCGCAGCGTGAGGGGCTGACTTGGAAAACCCACAGAGAGTGATGATAGGAGAGCAAAAAGGAGAAATTGGGAAAAGTGAGGAGAAATGGAAAGAGAGTGTTAAGGAGAGCAGGGGAAAACAGCAGAGTGTACAAACATAGAACAACACAGGCACGTGTTTGTTGCTGAAAGCCTCGCAACAGCAGGAGCTCAGATGTTTTTGAATGGGATTCCTGTTCAAGTTCTGTCATCACTCCTTCCACTATCATTATTATTTATATTCCGTGGTGGAATTTTGATTTTCTTCAATTTTTTTATTCCGATATGTCAGGGCTTACTCAGTTGTTTTTTTTCTCAGAGAGAGAGCCTGTAGGAAAGCATGGTACTACACGTGAAACGTGACTTTTGGCAGAGCCACGCACCCACTAGCAGAAATGTATTAGCTCACTCATGGATTTTCTTCTGCTGCAGTGGAACATAGGGTTATGTCACACCGAGAGTAGAGCGTGGCCGTTCAGTGCGTGTCTATCCAGATGTTTTGTGTATCTTAACAAAGGTATCTCTGCTGATTGTCCCCCCCCCCCTTTTCTTGTCCTCACCCACTCCCTTTGTGTAACAAAAGCCATATTGTAGCTTTGTTTATTTCTACTCCCAGTGGTGTCTGTCTGAGACTCGACTCCAAGCCAGGCACTGCTAGGCTCCTGCCTTTCTGGAGTCCCTTTCTTTAAATGTCCGGGACCAGTTTTGTCCTGTAAGACGGACTGAAGTTCAATGACCTGAAAACATGGATGAGAGTCTGATCTGAAAAACTTTCAGTCACTATTCATTCAAGTAATGAGTTAATGACAGAAACTGAGGAAGAACTTAATACAAGGAAAAACATTTACTGTGCTTAAGACTGTTTAATTAAAACAAAGTTTTTTTGATTGCGCTTTGACGTACATGATTTTAGTACAGACTCCTCTGAGCTCAGGAGCAGCAGAGGACAGAGTAATGAAATCCTTTGGAGGCTGTACCACTTATGTGAAGAACCAAGGTCTTGTCAGGATAGATGATCGTGGACGCTCAGCTCATGTGCCGAGCAACCCGGTCCCATGATGACATAATTCAGTTTTCTTTTACACAGCGGAGGGTGCTCCCCTTGTGGAAACTCTCTACTCTCAGGCCTTTTTGCCAAGAACAGCCACCCCAGTGCTGTTGGTAACCACAGGCAGCTTTCCTCATCCTCCTTAGTGATGAAGTAATATGGTCAAGGAAAATCTCCTGGCCAAATATGAGCATCTCTTTCAGCATTTGGGTGGTAGAGGAGGGAGTTTTGGTTTGTAGCTTTGGTTTTTAGTCATGTGTTGTAGTCTGGCAGGAGAGACTGTGATCACACTGGTCAGCGGTGGAGGAAACTGCATCGGTGCAATTTTTGTTTGTTTGTTTTGTAACCACAGTGTTTTGGATCGTAGTACAGTATGTTGCCTCTTTAGATGCTTCTGTTAGATGTGTGATCTAATTGGCTGAATCACTTGGTTCTATTGTTAAAATACTATTTTTTTTTTACTATTACTGAACCTTCCCAGTGGTTGGGTTGGCCTTCATACCACAGACTTGTTAATTGGCTAATAAGTTCTGCTGGTGTTGTCCATAATAGTTACAGAGCTCCAGTTAGATTTTTTAAAGCCAGTAACATTATACAGATGTATCACCCACATCGACTTATACCCATACAGACATGTTTTTCTTAAGAGTACAAATGCAGATGTGCAAAACAGGTTAAGCTTTTCTCACATGTCTGTCTTAAGGTAATTAAGTGGTACAAGTACTTGCTTCTGGCCTTTGGCTCAGTCTGTCTGCTGCTATGTATAACAGATACATGGACTTCTTTAATCCTGCTTTCTTCAGCTTCATTAAGTTAGCTGTGGTAGATGCAGTGCAGTTATTGTCTGTCAGTCAGACGATGATTAGCATTCATGTCTTATGCTGGATATATGAAACTCTGCATTGAAAGCTTGTGTTGGTGACTTGTTTTTCTTGTTCTGATGTAATATTTGTGAGCAGACATGCCAGTCAACTTGATCCCTCAAATTTTGAATATGTTCAATGAAGGTTGACCAGAGCAGAAATGCACTGAATTGCATTTACAATTTCCCACGCTAAGAACAGTAATTCAGTGAAAGCTTAAAGGTGCCCTGCAGAGTTTTGTTACGAACAAACAAAAGTTCTGTTTACATTCAGTGTTTCTCACCAGAACACACTGTATGTATCCTGGAGGTCTAACAGACATGCTGAATGCATTTCCTTCTTTATAAAACATTTGAAAAACAGGGTTTAAAAAAAAAAAAAATCTGTAAATCCTGCATTGTTTACATACAGGCTTCTTCTTCTCTGTCTTTGCATGTTACTGCCACCAACTGTCGATCAGCAGAATAGTATGAAACTGGCTGCAGGATGCAAATTGCGTTGGCACAATACAAACAAAATTGGGGACCCAGTCATAAAAACATTGCTCCATGGCACTACTAGTGGTCAGAATCTCCTCCTTTGACTGAATGGATTAAATGAAATGTTAAAGCTTTAATTAAAAGGGGGAATGTTGACTTCATTTGTAAAGTTACATTTGTTTTCACTTTTATCTCTCACAATCCTTTTGTTTCTCTGGCATCTGGCTCCTCTCCTTTCGCAGCTTGAATATTTTAATCTGTCAACAGCACTGACAGCAAGGACAGTAGACAGTCCTTTACTAATTATTTTTCATCACAAACCTTGAAGTCTAACCATAGATGTGTCTTGGTACAGTTCAGCTCATGTCTGTTTGGTACAACAATGTTAAAGAGGACACGGTGTTTAAGTCAAACAACATCTGTGGTCAAGAGCTAGTAGTTAGAAAGGACGCTAATATGAGAGGCCAGCGGGGTCATGTCAAAGAGTCATGTTCTAACAATTCTCAGTGGAGTGATGGTTGACATGTGTGACCTTTAATGACCCCTGCCTTCCTCAAAGAACGTCACTTTAGCGTCGTCATGGGTTTCAGGGCAGGATTTTTACAAGATTAAGGTTTTTGGTCGCTAACGTCTGTATGTGTGACATAATCAGATAGATTCGGACAGACTCACACCCACATTCATGTTTCATGTAAAGTGAGATTAGATGTTCCACTCAACCTAAAAAGCATTTCCCCCCCAAATCCCGTTTCCTGGTTAGCTTGAGTGGAATGTCTCTGTTCAAAGGCATTTCTCATTTTTCACAGTGGCGTATCGACAGTGAGTTTTTTTTTTTTTTGTTTTTTTTTTCCGTCTTTCCACTGAGAGCAGCTTTGAACCATAACACAGCCAGCAACGCCTGAGCACACACACACACACACACACACACACACACACACACACACACACACACACACACACACAGATATATATGCAAACATACACACACGTGATTCAGGGAGTAGTTGGATAAAGAGGATGTGTTTTTAAGTGGTTGCAAAGGTTAAAAGGCGTTCTCTGGGGAACGCAGGCCATCTGTCTGTCTGTCTGTCTGTCTGTCTGTCTGTCTGTGTTTGTCTGTCTGTCTGTCTGTCTGTCTGTCTGGAAGATATCTAAAATGAGCTTGTTTTGGTTTTTTTTGTATGTTTTTCTGGTTAACTTATTCTTAAATTGTTCACCTCTCCTCTCTCTCCCTCCCTTCCTGCAGAATAGTTCGTGATTATCTGAGTGGAGCTCCATTTTCCTTCTACCAGGAGTCCATGTACTTCTCTCGCTTCCTGCAGTGGAAATGGTTGGAGAGGTGGGTAGTCAGTGCACATTACATCCTTGTTAAAGCAAACATGCAAACAATCCCTCTGTCTTACATTACAATGACACCTGTGATCTTACACACATTGAATATTCACTGCTCAGGTTATTCTCCCTCATTGCACTTATTTGTTTGCACTTTGTCTCCTTTAAACTTCCAGCACATGTCCAAACAGATACTTAAGTCAATTAATAGTAAATGTATTTCAACTTTATATTAATAAAATGACATTAGAAGTGTTTACAACAAACTACAAATACTCAAATACACAAACAAGACATAAACATAACAGTATACAGTGTACATACTGACCAGTAGCAGGAGCGGTGTTTGCACCAAAGCACAAAGGTGATGCCGGCAATCAGTGTTCCTGTGTGACTGGTAAATAATTGATGATGCTTTGCATAATGGCTGGGTGGAAACAGCAGCCATCAGGGTGGATTAATAATATATTAGAGCATTAGTCTGTCTGCAGCATCACGTGGTCTGTGAGAATGACATAACCAATCAGTTATTTTACGTCTCCTTATTTTTGTCTCTTTTTTTATCTTTTTCTCTCTCTCTCTCTCTCTCTCTCTCTCATTCCTCTATCCATCGCTGCAGGCAACCAGTAACCAAAAATACCTTCAGACATTATAGAGTACTAGGAAAAGGTGGATTTGGCGAGGTAAGTGTTACAGCAATCAAGACATAAATTTGGAGTGCCTGTGACGGTTTAGCCTGGTGTTGAGCTTATTTAAGTTTTTATGACGGATGCTGAACCGACATTATTTTCCTTTACACATTAAGTCTGGGAATGAGATGTTAATGTTAATGATTTAAGTTGCTGCAAGTCATCTTTAACACTTAGTTAATGCAGCGCTGTTTATGTCTCCGCTCCAGTGATGTTGGGTGGAGTGATCTGTGGTGTGACATATTAACTTCCATTAGTTACACTTTTAAAGGGTGTTTTCGTGTGTAAGTGTGTGTGTGTGATAATGTTTCCTCGTTGCTTGTTTTCCAGGTTTGTGCCTGCCAAGTACGTGCCACCGGTAAGATGTACGCCTGTAAAAAGCTGGAAAAGAAACGAGTGAAGAAAAGAAAAGGTGAAGCAATGGCACTAAACGAAAAACGCATTTTAGAAAAAGTTAACAGTAGTTTTGTAGTAAGTACTACTTTTTTCTTATTCAACCTTTCATCAGAATTGTACCTGTTTTCTGTGTCTGTGTGTGAGTGTTTGTGCGCCTGTGAGAGCAGTGTTTGTTACAGCTCCAGGATCCTGCAAATGAAATTGAATGGTGTGTTTGCAAAGGCTGTCGATCTGCTTTTAAAGACACTCGCTGCGACTTGAGTTCTGTTTGTTTAATGACGTCCACGCCAGGTGGAGAAGCATGTGAGTTGCAGTGGAAAAAGACACAATGAGATAAAACTACAAAGGGGGGGGGGGGGGGGTCACATGATAATGATGACCTGTTGCAGGTGCACTGCAGGACAGTCAGCAACAAGTCTGACCATCTTGCATTCACTGCAGCAAACCAAATATTCTGTTTTATTTTCTTAACAAACTTGCTATTTTGCAAACATGCCAAATTTGATTTTATTTGGAGCATACTGTCAGCTGTGAATCATCTGTTAATGTATTCTTGAACTTGATTGAAATCTGTTTTGTTACCATACCATTTCTGATACAGAAGTGTTTGAAACTCAAATATACACACTGATAGTTATACATTTGTGTCCTTTTATAAAGGGGCATAGATTGTCAGGATAAATAACTACTTTAGATAAAGTATTAATCATTGTGGTGAACCTCCCCATACACAAATGTAATAAATGTACATATATTGAATTTCCATATATGAAATATGTGTACATTTAAAATAAAAACACGTGTACAAATTATATATTAAACCTATTAGAAATTGGAACTATATATATATCCATCCCAAAGCCTGTCAATATATGTTGATATTACTGTATATACAGTAGTGTCCAAATCCCAAAAAGGGATGATAGACATGTTTAAAATGAAACATAAATAAGCATATAGAATCTTTGTATGTATGTTGTTGTAATAAACTTGCATATATACATGAAATATATATCATTAACATATACAGTACCAGTTTCCCATTGTGGGAAAGTGTGTTCACACTTTTCACTGGTACTGTATGGTTGCAACATGTTATACCATATAACAATTCATCATATAGATAGTTTTTTTTAATATATGCACATATTTTTACCATGGGTATTTCATATATGCTATAAACTTTTATCCTCATATATCCAGAGAATGTACATGATGATAATATATCCTTGATAGGAGACATCTATGGCAACATCACTCTTGATCTAAGGACATACATGTCATATATTACATTTTTGTATGGGGCAAAACTGAGTCACAGTTAATCCAGACTCCTTTAAGTGTCTCAGATAGTCTCACAGTTTGACAGTTCATTCAAGGTCGAACAAACCACATCTGTAGTCAAGTGAAAACTTCACGTCATAGATGCAATGAAATGCATGAAATTTAAGTAACTGTGACATTTCAAAGACAATTCTCAGGAACACTATGAAAGAATTTCTAAAGAATTTTACATAGTATTGGAAACTAACTGGAACAAAGGTCATTAGCACTGATGAATTATTTAAAAATTTCTATGGAGTCTGGGTTGCAAAACCACAAAATGCAGGTTGTGGTCTGGGTGCTCGGGCGTGTGGCTTGTCTTGAACATGTTAATGCATTTTTATGAAAGTTTCAGACAGAAATAATATTTCTTCCTAGTAGAGCAGCTAAATGTAGAAGAAGGTAGTACAGTGTCCTGCTCTGAGCATGTGTGCCAGCCAAAAAAAAAAAATTATTACCCTGCCACCGTACTGCCATGCCTCAAGCTCTTAATGGTGGCGTTGCTCTTGGCTGATTTTCCTATGGAGGATTTCTATAAATTGAGCCATAGTCTTGAGTAAGCGGTGGTTTTTGGCCGGCACTGTAACGCCAAGCTTGAATGCTTTTTAGGGAGTCACCTAGTTTTTCATTTCTTCCGTGCTGCACCAAAGCACTGAAGGGCTGGAATTTACAGCTGACAGCCCATTAACATGTAAGATGATACATTACAGGAACAGTTCACGACCTTAAAGGGAGATATCAATAATGTTTATGGGTCATTTATTAACTATAAGGCCTTGTTAACTGGTATTCTGTCAAAAATACTACAAATGAGGAGCAAGAGTTCCCATTCGTGTTACACATTTCACAATATGAACCACCTTCTCTCCTTTGACCTCTCACTGTGTACATCTTGTGCAACATGTTCCTGATGTATCGCTTTCTGTTTTTTTCTTGTGTGTGTTGTGTGTTAAAATGGAAATGCTTGAATTTTTATCCTCCTTAACTGCGCGTGTGAACATCAGGACTCAAGCGCAATTGGAAAACTAGTGATGTGAGCTTCTTTCCATTTCGTTCAGCTGCACGCACAAAAACATCTCAGGTGCTCGGGCAGGAAAAGAAAACTTTGCGTTGGCTCAGTGTTGTAGCTCTCTTAAAAAAATGATTGTTCCAAAGACAAGAAAATTACAGCAAGTCTACATTTTAACATTCTTGGAACATGTTGAGGAGCAACTAGAGGGATCGTTTCTGGTCTGTGGGTCTGTGTGCAGTGTGTACTCTGAATATTTGTACACACTGTGTTCTACAGTGTGTACAAATATTGGTTAATACTGTTTAACTGGACAGAACTGTGATATTGATCTGTAGTACAGTAACCTGGACTGTAACAGAGTAAAGAAGAGCCTCTGAGCTCTCCATTTGAAGCTAATGTGTGTGTTGTGTTTGACTTGTACTGTGTGTTGGATTAGTCAGTTTCTGATGCAGAGTGAGCTATGCTGCGCGTCCTTGTTATGAGTGAGTCATGGAAGAAACATGTGCATGGGCATGTAACGCACTCACACACACACACTCACACATGCAGAGGCTGTAGTGGGCTTGTTGCAGAACCTCAGACTTGCAGCTCTTGTCACCTGGGATTGGCACATGATTGTGTGTCTGTGCGTGTGTGTGTGTGTGTATTCGTTCTCTGTGCTTCAGGCAGAACTGATGACTCTTCATGTGCCTCTCTACCTACGAGAGCAGCTCTGTTGCCTAGCAACACTGACCAAACAGCAGTAGCAAGGAGAAGAGTCAAGTGCTCTCTCAAACCCCTCATTTTTCTCTCTCTCTACCTCTCTCTCTCTCTACCTCTCTCTCTCCCTCTCTCTCCCTCTCTCCCTCTCTCCCTCTCTCTCTCTCTCTCTCTCTCTCTCTCTCTCTCTCTCTCTCTCTCTCTCTCTCTCTCTCTCTCTCTCTCTCTCTCTCTCTCTCTCTCTCTCTCTCTCTCTCCCTCTCTCTTATCAATGCATACTATTAGTCAATATATCTATACATAGCTACTGTTTGGCCCATGTGCACATATTGGGTGTGTGAGTGTGTATATGAGACACAGGGCAGGGTCATCTTGCTCTAAAGTCTCCAGCAGGTGAGACAGAGGTAGAGCTAACTCTGATGCTCTGAAGCAGACCTGGCTGGTTATCGTGACATTTGTTGAAACTGGTGCCAGTAATGATAACATAGTTAAAGACTGGAAACACTTTATGATTAAATGTAACAAATTACATGATTTAGATGTTTGATCAGGAATCAAGTGAACAGGACCAGTGTTCATAACTGTCCTGTCCATTACCTGAGAAGATTAAACTCCAGATGGGGCAACGTGGATGTTATGATATTATGAATCACCAGTGAGCTGATTGCCTTGGGTTCTCTTAATTTCTATGAAGTTATTGCATTTGGACAAATGTCAGGTTTTAGTGGATATTTTTACTGAAAAATTGAAACACTTTTTGGATGTGTTTTTATCGTGTTCTATACATTTTAAACAAAGTACAACTTCAAAGAGCTGTGTGAGGATGAAGACTTGGTTTTAGGGTTCGGTTTAGGTTAGGGTTAGGTATTTATTTGTGATGGTTAGGGCCAGGGCTAGGGAATGCATGTGTTACTCACTTGGCCCAGAAGAATTTTTCCCATCTGCCCTTGTGGTCTGTCTCTGACTGCATACTCTGTAGCAGATGGGATTCCTCCTGATGGCAGCAACATCCTGCTTGTACACAAGAGCACATGCACACACACTATATACCCTGCATGTCACTGACCCACAGGAGGGGGGAGGGGGATGCTGGTGGGAATGAAGGGAGAAAAGAGAGATAGATGGTGGGATTAGAGGGGAAGGACATGAAGCAATAGAGTGAGAAGTGGAGAGGAAGCTTCTGGTTTTCCATATCTGTGATGTATATCTCTTTGTCTCTCTTTGTGTACATTCTTGAAATTGTGATGTGGGATAATGGATGATTATTTGTGGCATTAAACAAACCAAGTGAAACAATCATGCTCCTCTAGCCGCCCTGTCTCTTACCACCACTCTTCCCTCTTCCTATTCCTCCTCCTCCTCCCTCCTTTCTCTCTTCTCGCCCTCCTCTACAATGACTTCTTTCTTCTTGACTGGTCCCCCGCCTCCCTTGTTACCACTTCCCCAAAATTGCCTCCCTCTCCAGGTTAGTCTAGCATATGCCTATGAGACCAAGGATGCGCTGTGCCTGGTGTTGACCATAATGAATGGCGGTGACTTAAAGTTTCACATCTACAACATGGGCAACTCGGGCTTCGACGAGCAGAGGGCCATCTTCTACGCTGCTGAGATCTGCTGTGGCCTTGAGGACCTGCACCGCGAGAGGATAGTCTACAGGTTAGGTCACATGGGGGTCAGATAGAAGATGATTTTTTTCATGATAGTATTTCTGTTTCGAAGATCAGAAGATGCTGTAGGCGAGCCGTGTTTACTGTCTCAGAAACAGCATTAAGCTCAGAGGCTTTAGGAAAATCTTCAGGGTTATTTTGAGGATTTTTGTCTCTGAGGACAATGTTGTGAGGTTTACAGTCCCGGACCCACATTATGTGAGCTTGTTTCTGTACAAGAATGTCCTGGTATTTAAAGGGGCACTCCACAAATTTTACACACTTCGAGTTCAGCTCAGTTTACTTGTCATGAGAAGTACTACTCAGCCTGGGAAAATAGTTTTATGAATTATTTTGTGGTTCTGAGGGATTTTCTTAAATCTGAGAAAATGATGCGTCAGTGACATTGTCGGGGATATCTCAGATTAAGGCTTGAGAGTTGACATTTTTGACACAGTCTGTGTTACAAAGTGGTTGTGAAGTTAGCATGCAGTGAGGGCCAAAATTAAAAGATTGTAGCCAGTTGCATTGATGAAAATGTAGCATCTGGGATTTTGAAGCTTGACCCATACAAAGGGACTAAAAGTCAGGATATTTCCACTGGAAGAACAGTTGTAAATTGGTGGAATATCCCTTTAAACCGAACACACTAATTAGGCAAATCTCACCAATGCAAAACAAACCCTATACTAAGTGTATGTGCAGCTCTTTGTCACAGCTCTGGTGTTAGTCAGAGATACGTTCATAAGAGAGTGTTTGCAGTCGTGCAAATAGAAAGTCCTGGATGATGAAGTGTGACTGGATTAATGGTGTACTGATTCCACTGTAATGCACCTGTCACACTCAACGGAGCCTCAAAGTAATTCTAACATAAACACTGATGTTCTTAGAAGACACAAGCACCCACATACACATGGCCCACAAAGTCCTATAAACACAGTGTGCCTTGATCTCTGCATGTGTTACAGTAAACTTCACAGTTGGCATTGTAGTTGAGGATGGCATTAGTAAAGTGCCTCAGGTATTGTAATACAATAAATAACAAACGGTTGGTATCTTGCACTTTTCAAAAAGTTAGACAAGACAATTAGAAGAGGATTCAGCAGCAGTATAAATGACAACATGGCATGTCTGGACATTCTGCTGCAACACTATTGAACGCAGAAATGTAGCTCAGTACAATACAACACGTGATAACAAATAAAACAAATGTGTGCAGATGAGCCATCTATTAATCCACATGGAAGACTGTGGAAGCTCAAGAACAGAAAGCACACGGGCAATAAAGGCAATGAAATGTCAACAAAATGACAAGTTAATAAAGAATACAAATATTTATCCAGTATTTTATTGTTGTATCTTTCTTCTCAAATGTAAGTTCTATTTTTAACCAAGCACAAGAGGTATGACTCCCTAATGTCTTCTTCCTCTTTTTCTTTTTGGCAGGGATTTGAAACCTGAAAACATCCTTCTGGATGATCGTGGTAGGTCCAGTTTCATTTTTCTTATTGTTCCGTTCAGACCAGAGCGGGCCAGTATGTGGGCACACGTCTTGGCTCGAGGATATTATTTGTTTTCCAGTGTTTATTTGATGTAACTCATAGCTCACAATGTCCAAAACAAAAGGAACAGTTTGTAAGCAGTCCGCTTCATAATGTGCGGAGTGTCTCCCCATCTTTCAAACGCTGAAAAGTCATTTCTTCATGTTCTTCACATCACGCTCTCTCTCCTCTGAGTCATACTCCTGTATCTTCTATTCTCTGAAACATGGACTTATCTGGAAATAGAGGAATCTCCTTCATGTCTCTCTGAAGCTCTTATGTTTTCTTATTCTCTTTCTTAACCACTTCTATCATAGAAAAATTATTTTAATGTAGCATGACTACTGTCTGGGCCCCTTTTTGCTCTGACCTTTAGTTAGTATTGGTTTCTCATAAGTCTGGGTGTTCAGGAAATTAAATGTACTCCTCTGTTAGTCACTAAAACAAAGTGTAAATTATTATCAAAATATGTACATTCAACAACATCTCAGTTGGATAATTACTTGTGGTTCTTGTTTAGGACACATCCGAATTTCAGACCTGGGCCTTGCTGTTCAAATCCCTGAAGGAGAGACGATACGAGGGAGAGTGGGAACTGTTGGATACATGGGTAAGTAAAATAAACTCTGCTAAAAGAAGCTAAAAACAAGCTCCAGAACTTTGGCCACTCAATTACAAGCAAAGTTTTGGTCAAACAACGCTCTGATACTCTCTTCTACAGCCTTTTTTAGTCAAACCTTTCATCATTTACCTCTATACACTTCAACCATTCCTTTGCTCTCTGTGCAAGCATCTTAACTTTCTCCCTGACATTTATGAACTCTCTGTCTCAGTCTTAAATTTGGCAATGACCTTTGTTTTCTTACCCCTCATTGTTGCCTCAGCTCCCGAGGTGATCCAGAACGAGAGCTACACCTTCAGCCCAGACTGGTGGGGGCTGGGCTGCCTGATCTTTGAGATGATCCAGGGGCAGTCGCCCTTCCGCAAGCGCAAGGAGCGCGTCAAGCGGGAGGAGGTGGACAGACGAGTGCGCGAGGACCAGGAAGAGTACTCCGATAAGTTCTCAGAGGAGGCGAAGGACATCTGCAGACAGGTGAGAGTGAAGAGATGGAGGTGAGGGATGATAGTGGGATTAGGACACGGGTGGAAAAAGCACAAAGGGAGGAGAGCACATTAAAACATTGTTTGAGGTGAGTTGCAAATGAGGAGTGAGGACAGGGAGGGATGTGGCTGCAGGGGTTGACAAAAAAAAAATTCAGTTCTGTATGCGTGAAAGTCAGGAAGATCATGTCTTCAGGCACAGCGAGATATTAGAAACAGTCCTGTTTGACTGAATGTATTTCATTGTAATCAACACACTCTTTTCCTGTGTCAGACGTATTCTGAAAAGTCTGAAACACACTCTTAAATTGCTGATTTTTTGCAATTAGCAACGTTATAATATTTTGTACAAGAGTTGTCTTCAAGTCTGTGGTTGTTATTAGGTCAATGAAGACCTCATGATACTTTTAGCCAAGACCCATCCATCCATTTTTTTCAACACCAATCTAATCCAGTTCAGGGTTGCGAGGAGTGCATGTGCAGGGTGAGGCAGGCCAAAACAATCATACTATACATTTTTTGTATCAGCACATGCCAAGTTCTCTCTCTTTGGCTCAGCAGCATTTCCAGGCAAGTAGAAAACTATCTACTAAGTGGTTTTATTTTTAAACACAGATTTAGTTTAAACCTGTATAATTTGTTTTTTAGCCACCTGAGATATTATCACCTTTTAAAGATGAAAAAGTGAACATTTGGACATCCAGCAGACACAAAGCAACATCACCTAACGAACGCAAGTCCGTATTCACTGCCCTTCATTTCCACTGCAGTCTAAGGTGCTAACTTTGTCTACTGTTTGGTGCTGAGTAGTTGATGTACAGTGGGTATATTGCAGCTGCCTGCTGCTGCTGCTGCTGCTGCTGCTGGAATCGAGGTGGATGAGAACGGTGGGACTGAACCGACTGAACCGTTTGCAGTAAAATCCAAAACAATGTGCTGAAAGAGGCTAAAATTCTACGTAGAGCTGATGGAAACTGACAGGTTAGGTGTGTTGACGTTACACATCGTCATTCCAAATCAGAAGTTTATTACAGCTTAGCTCATCTCTCTTTCAGCCGCTCTGTCCTCCACAATGTCACTGCTCCGTGCTCCAAGAGGGAGCCACTGAGCTGCTCAGCCTCTGAGCCGGGGAGGGGACGGGACGTCCATTTGTGTGACGTGGTGGAACATTCTGACCCGAAGTTCAGCAGATTCAAAGGCTCCCCAGGGAGAGGAGAAGTGGAAGGGGAGGGGTGGGGGGTGCCGGGAGAAGAAAGGTTTCTGCAAGAAATGGGAGAAAGATAATAAGGAAGGAGAGAGAATGTTGGGGGGTGCAGCCTCTGCCATGCTACAGGGATGGCTATTACCACAGCCCAAAATAGACAAGTGATCCGAGTTGTCGAGCAGAAAGTGAGGTCTGCTTTGAACCGTGGTGTGAATTGGGGCGAGAGTTGCGCAAGGACAAGAAAAACAAAGGGGAAATTTCGAGATGTGGTGAAAAATAGAGAAGGCATCTATTTTTTGAAACCACCATCAGCCTTTCGGGCGACAAAGCGGCCAGTGAGGTGTCCGCTAGTAGCCAAACCAACTAACTGGTGTCGTAGTAATGTTATCCAGAAGCTCTCATTGCATCAACCCCTGAGTGTATGGATTTGTTAGATTATTAGATTATGAAAGGTCAGATACATAAAGCCAAGAGGATTAAATGCAAACTATGTATGTGTTTTGTATACATTGACCCGGAGAGATTAGTCATAAAACTGTCAGGAGGTATCCAACATCACAGGAACCCCCTCCCCTTCTTTGTGTGTGTTAATTATTGATGGAGAAAAGGGCTTAAATAAAGGTTTGTTTTATGTTCTTCTTCGTGAGAAATTTGAAACATGTTGAGCTATAATTTATCTGCCAGAGCCATTTGGGCTAACACACACATCTTTAGAGAATTACAGTGTTTCACTCTCTTTTCCCTCTTCCCTTTCGCTGTGCGCCAGCTCCTGGCCAAGGATCCCAAGGAGCGCCTTGGTTGTCAGGGACGCGGGGCCATAGAGGTCAAGCAGCACCCCATCTTCAGAAACATCAACTTCAAACGGCTGGAGGCCAACATGCTGGACCCTCCCTTCAGCCCTGATGTAAGAGCAGCACACACGCAAACTCACAGTGCCAACAGCACATAGGCTTGATTCAAAGCTTGTAGCCTGAAACCTCGGCGAGCTGCAAATCAGCATACAGGAAATACCATTGTCACAAGTAAACAAACACTTCCAGTATAAGCCTGGCTATCATGGTAGCCAAAGGCGGTGGTGAGAAGCAGGAGTGTGATTTCAGTGTCTTTGTATGAAATCCTGATAAAATAGAAAACGTGCTCTCTATAACAATTACGCTTTCTCATCACAATTACCTCCAGTGAAGCCCTTTAACAATGAACAGTATGGAAACTCACGTGTGTATATGTGTAACCATGGAGTGTAATACATGAGCACCACCTTACCTGGATAAATGTAGTTCAGCCAAAATCACTGTAAGCTTTTATGTTGTGCTGCACTTATAGACTTTTGGGATAACAAAGGTGTTCATAGAAAGAATCATTACATTTCATTTTCAGTGTCATAAGTAGACTGAGTGAGAGAGAGTGACTGACCCGAGAGGTTAAATCAATAGTTGAAAGTAGATAGTGTTATCTGTGTTTCTATTTTGGGTTATTCAGGTCAGTAGGGCCACACTGAGGTAAACAGAGCAACCAAGAGTCCTCAGGCATGTGAAGATTTCCATGTTAGTCAAATATCCATATGATTATTATTATTAGTATTTCAGGTTTAGTATTTCCCCCTTTTCATCCAAGAATAATTACACTTTTAACAGTTGTTCTGCCCCTTTTTGTCTCATTTCTCCCTCTGTTATCTTCCTCTCTCCCTCAGCCTCGGGCCGTGTACTGTAAAGACGTCCTGGACATCGAGCAGTTCTCCACTGTCAAAGGCGTGAACCTTGACCCCACAGACGATGACTTCTACCACAAGTTTGTCACAGGCAGTGTCTCCATCCCGTGGCAGAACGAGGTACTGCACACTCAGGCCGCCGAGATGATGTCATCGTCCAGTTCCACAGCAGACAGATCTAATGCAGTACAGCTCTGCTGGTGACACAGGAATACTAGACTTAATTGGAAGGACAAATTGATGCCATTGGTTATTAATGTGAATATGTGTTTCCCTATGAATGAGCCAAGTTACTGAATATAAATTAGACAGGGTTTGTAGGTGTTGATTCACATCCTCTATGTGTAAATCAGAGAGTTGAAAAGTGAAACGTATCAGGTTGGATAACTTGATCTCTCATCCTTTGTAGATGATTGAGATGGAGTGCTTTAAAGAAATCAATGTCTACGAGACAGACGGGACGCTGTGCCCAGACCTGGACATGAATCGGCCTAACCCTCCACCAAAGAGAGGCTTCTTCTACCGCCTGTTCAGAAGAGAGGCAAGTGCTAGTGCTCCGGCAACTGTTCGAGGGGGTGGGGGCTAAGGTACTTCCTCTCTTCCTTCTTTCCTCCCTTTTTTCCCCTCCAGGCCTTGTCCAAACTCAACATGTGAAAAGGTTACTTCTGAACTCCTTTGAGTATTTGTTTCCAGTTCATCTGTGTTGGTTAGAATAAGGCCTCCCTTCCTTTCTCCTCTGAATTTGAAATTTTCTGTCCCTTTCTGTCCCTGTGTTTGTTGCTATGCCACTTTGTTGCAGGGGGTCATACATAAGGAATATTTTCTTCAGAGAACTGGTTTGTGGTTGTGGGAAGACGTGACATAAAGCTTTGCCTTCCATATTTTAATGCAGTAACACAAAATGTCGTCATAAAATGGTTCTTCGTTGGTTGCAGGAGCTTCTTAACTAACAGATTTTTTATCACTGAGACTTCCTTTGAACTGAAAGATGTAATTTCCACTGGGGAGGGGAGCAATATGCCCCCTCACTTTTCAAAATCCTTCATTTTGTCCCCACATTTCTACAGTTTCAGTTTGATTAGTTCAGTCACAGTCACTGTGCACTCACAGCAATAAGCTTCTCAAGCAGCAGTGAGTGCATCACAGATGTTTTTGGTCCCTGCATTTTGCCTCTCAGGTGACGTACAGTCCTCTCTCCATTATTGGTGGAGGTGTAGTGTGCACCTTGGGAGGAAGACCTGCAGGTGCAATCAAAGATGAGGCAGTTGAGACGGAAATACTTGCCATGTGGTGAAGTCACGGTCGGCGTTTCTGATGAACGTGACATCTTGCACATGTGAGAAGGAGAAGTTGTGGAAGCTGCTAATCTTAGTGATTGTATCCTCACTTTTTGGTTCTTCCCAGGTCTGTTTTAAGAGCGGTTACAGTGACGACGAGACCGAAGAGCCCTCGCGACTTTAAACCACTCCCTCCACCTGCCCGCCCCCCACCCACCCCCGCCACCCTCCCCTTCGCCGCTGAACTTCACCACAAACTCCAACCGAGCGCAAATCTTAGGAACTCAGTGAATGTTGACCTGTATTTATGAGCTGTATTAAAAGTGTATTATAATTAAAGAAAAAAGTATGAGTTTAAAGATTTTGTACATTTGTACTTGAATTTATGTCTAGATGTATATTTTCACTAAAGGTTGTATTGTACAAAAAGCCATAAAAGTACCACTTGAATGCATACATTACATTTTTATTTCCTTTATACCTTTTGGAATGAGTATGGATAATGTGTATTGGGGAGTTTTTTTTTTTTTTTAAGAAGCACAGTACCAGTAGTCTTTTATTTTTCTCAATGTAGCATAAGGCCGTTTTGTTTTTATATGTGCTGTATGTTTGTCATTGATTTGGCCAACGTGACGTGTTGTTAGCACATCAGATCCATCCCGTCCCAAACCAACCTGTAACCCTCAAGGCTCAGGTAGATCTGAATGACGGGCGTAGATCCAGATGAATCCAGTCTGACATTGCTGTGTTGATGCCATGCTGCTTAAACCTTCCCATGTTTCCCAGCTCTCCGCCTGCTCCTTTAACTTTTAGTTTGGAAGTCCGAGTTGATAATCCATGTCCTTCCCTCAGTCCAGCTAGGCAGGTGGCAGTGGAAAGAATGGCGTGTGTAGTAAACCGTCTTCTAGGTGCCTGTACCGGCTTGATTCTAGCAGAGATGGCGTGGATTTATTTCTGAGGAAATAGTCAGCAGTCAGCATGTGCAGCATTTAATATCTTTAAAATAAAAAGGAAATACTATGGAGGCCATTTTTAGGGACACAAAGCCTAATAGATATCATTCCTGGACCTCTCGAAATATCTTTCAAGAGCTTCAAAAGCCTCAGAACATTACTTTCAGATGCCAGATATGTGTTCCCTTTGGGAGCACAGCTGTTCAGTAAATGTCTGTTACATTATTCACTCAGGCAGAAGATTTTTTTTTTGGTTATTTCATATTTACTCCTCATTCACTTTTTCTGCTTTTGTCGTATTACTTGGCTTTGCCCTATTATGAACCTGTTTTATGTGCAGAGTGGAAAACCTCTCCCTTGAAATTTCTTAGTAATTTGCTACCCATATTTTGAGTACAGCAGAAAGCCTACAACTGGTTGACTGGTAAATGACTTCGAGCATAGAGACAGATGATGATGATGAGGATGATGGCGACGATGACACAGTATCAGAGATCTGACCTGCAGCTCACAATGGCTTCATCTAGACAACAAATTGCTGTTGCATCAAATTTACTTCTATTGATTCAGCTGTCAACAGCTATTAGCCTCTGCACTGAGTCAAGACACAGCCAGCTTAGGCCTCTGTGCCTGTTGATCATAGATAGCATGATGCCTGTCGGCCACTTATCCTGCTAGTAGACCTCCAGCTAGATCAGGCTTCAGCTGTGCTTGTGATAGAGATAATATGTGTTCAGTGTAACAGCGTCCACCTTTTAACTATTCCATTGAAATCCTGTATGTTATTGTCTGACAGGAATGACAGAAGACAGTTTCTTGTATGTGTGTAGACTGGGAGGAATTGGGGGGGGTAATGTCTAAACTCCTGCCTGCAGAGGCACCATCGTCTGTGTATAGGAACACTCGACCACTTGCAGAACCACAATTGTTGTGCATTATTGTCTTATAGAGGAAGTGTTTCCTATTCAAGTTAATCAATCATGAACAAATACATTTTCCCAAACATGTTGTAATCAGGATTCGTTATGTTCACTCTCTGTTTGTTCTCACTGGCATTTCAGAGGCATTTGAAGCCATTTCGCTTTTGAATTTTGCTTTTGAGGCAGTCGCTGTTTACTCCCCACCACCTGTTTTAATGCTGTGAATATCCAATCTGGACGTGTTAGCTTTGTGCGTGTATATTACACTGTATGCTAAAGCAGCTTTTGTTCAGTCTAATGCATTGAAGTAAATTAGCTATGCCCCTGTGCAGTAAGAATCAATTTACCTGAAGGATTGATTCATTATGATTCTATTTTTATTTTTCCCACAAAAAAAACAAAACAAACAATGTCTGCATTTTATCAATACAATAGTTTCAAATTGTGTAGGGGCTTGAATGTCACTTTATTGAATTTTTAATATTCAAAACTGCATACAGTTAAAATGGTACGCATGTAGTTCCCCATTTAGTAAACCAATTTGGAGAGTTGGCTTTTTCTAAAGTTTTGCCCCCTGTTGCACACTCCATCAAAATCAGGAGTTGAATATGTGCATCTAGCTGTTGCTGGCTTTTGTCACTTGAGTTTCTGAGTGTCTTTGTTTTCTGTTTTGGTTTTTGTTTTGTTTTTTGTTTTGCTCTCAGGCACATTTTGATGCTGATTTCTCTTGCCAATGTAGATTTTAGCCTTTTAGCTCTTTAGCCTCAAAAACCTTGTAAATTGTGTATTTCTAACATGTAACTAAGCTCTAACACACATTCACTCACACACACAGGGAAACTAAACTGTGTTTGCCACCCATGCCTCTGTCATTGTTTGGAGTAACTTTACTTTTATACCATCCATATAGCAGTAAAGATGTTTTGTTCAGTTCCATTGCACTATGGTGTGATTTGACAATGATTATATAGGAAGTGTCTTTAACCTTTTTGCCAATGATACCAAAAGCAACATTTAAGTAAAACAAATTTGTTTTGTTTGCCGAAGAATTTACTGAAGAGAGACAGACAGCCTTTATTATGTGTGCCAATTACCATGTTAATTTCTGACACCCCCCCTTATTTTTCAACCTCTTTATCCTTCCGTCCGTCCTGAGAGAAGTTCCTTCACATAAAGGAAATTTAAACAGCTCAACAGTTTTGAATGTCCGCACTAAGTGCATTTTAATGCCTGTTTTAAAAAAAAAAAAAAAATACATATGTTTTATTACTCAAGCATGTATTGGTTTGTAATACTTCAGGTTCCTTATATATGTAAATGATGACCTTCTAGTGCCAACATATCTCACTGGTATCTGAGGACAACTTTATAAATGGCTAAGTGACCAGCTGAGTTGGCCCGGTTTGAATACTTAAGCATTCCTTCTCTTCTGCCTTCCTCCAAGGCACTGATGGTGAGTCAGTCCCCCCCAAAAAACTGGGGTGATACTCATCAGAAGCTAGAGATCCTCAGTTCCTCGATGTCACTTGAGTCTAGTTTTGGGATAACCACGATACAAGTCTGGAAGGCCTCCAGGGTTTCACACTCTTCTGTCCAGATATGTCAGTTCAGTGATATTTTCAAGGAAGGAGGAATGGCATATGCATTATTGGTATTCAATCTGGGCCCGGGACTTATTGATTTTTCTTTTTTTTTTCTTTTTCTTTCTTTTTCTTTTGTATCTGTACAGTCATGTTGTTCAACCACTGCAGTCATTGTCAATTCTTGTACAAGTTGTATCACTGGTTGTTGTACCATATCTGACATTTGTAATTATGAAATAATACACTGCCATTTGTATAAAAAAAACGTGTGTCTTTACTTATTTGTGTCATATCTTATTTTGTTGTTTCTTGCAAATAAATAGGCATAGGAGGAATAAAAAATAGTGTCATGCCACAGGCTATGTTATGTTCAACCCACTATAAGTAACTGCACTGGTGGCATTAGAGGATATTTGCTACAGGTGGGACTTCATTAAAGCTGCCACTACTACCCCATTCATCCATTACACAGAAAATAATTGCATATTAAAGTTCTCTTTAAAGTACATCTCTTTCTATTGGACGGTTGTCTTTTCTCCATTCATTCTCTGCCACACCTACCGAGTCAGGGGTTGTGGGTATAATAAGCTACAGTATAAATGTAAATGTGAATGTGAGAGATGGACAACTTGGATTTCAATACACGTGATTTAGTCGCCTCCTCACTTTCACATTTTCCGCTCATACCCCCCTTGACACACCGATAAACTCCACTGCCACAACATTGGTCTTGCACCAATCTGTTTTCACAAGCTGGATTTCAGCGGTCCCGTGACAGCAACAATAACAACAAAAGAAAAAAAATCACAGTTAGTCATTGGTTCTTTCTCACGCCACTCAACATAAACACGCGGTCTGATTGGCTACTGAGGCTGCACCCTCTCCCCTCTCTGTCAAGCTGTCATATACTCCACTTCCCGGTGTGATTTGTCTGGCGAACGCAACGCTGCTTCAAAGATGGCTTGTAATCAACCAACGTTTTATTCATTTAGGAGTAATACTGTGGAAGAATAAGAGACCTCTTGCGCAAAGAGAAAGCGGAGAGCTGGTGGTAGTTGTCGCGAGCAGTGTTAGCACTCTCGTCGCTCTACGCACCGCTTTGCTCTCTCCGTGCGCTAACTTGTCCCCACTGTGCTAGCTAGTTAGCTGACATAGTAAATATTAGCTAGCCAAGCTAGCTTGCTTACTGTTGATTGCTAAAATGGCCACCATGGAGAAACTGATGAAGGCCTTTGAGTCTCTGAAGTCATTCCAGCAACAACAGGGACCACCAACCGCCGAGGAGCTTGTCCAGAGGCAGTAAGTAGATTTTAGTCTAATGGTGATTGCATAGCGAACTAACAGGCGCTGGGCTAGACAGGTAGCTTAGCTCGCTAGCTACGTTAGCGCCTCTCAGGTAAGCAAGGTTTAATAGTTAGCTTGAAGCTAGTTTAGGCTAACAGCCAGAGTCTAAGCTGGTATTTAAGCTTCTCTACTATCTTACACATGCTTCTTGCCAGACATTGCAGCTATGCCTAGCGAGGTTTCTTCTCTTGATATTCACGCCATACGAGTGTTAGCTTGGCAGGTTTGTAGGGTCAGACTAGCTGAACGATAGCCGACATAGAGGACGTCTGCCAATTGATGCCCACGCACCTGCAAAAGGGGTCAGGAACCAGTTAAACGGTTCAGTGTCTGCTTAATAAATTATTCTGAGCTGAGGCATTCTGTTTGAAAAGCCACGTTAATGTTTTAACGTTATGTAATTAATCA